TGTATTTTTTTTAGTGATTGGACATACTTACATAGCTGCCGCTCTGCTCCTTTTCAGAGTAAGCAATAACGTTCAAAGCACAGAAAAAGTGTAAGAAACAGACACAAAATTAAAAGCACGAGACAGAGAGTGGGAGAGAAGAAAGTGCAACTAAATCTAATGTATTCCTTTTAGTGCATTTCTCAATCCCCATTTATTAAACTTACATGGTTACCAAATCAGAAAGATACAAGAAGATATTTTTGTATGTTTTTGGAGCTCACCATAATTTTTTTATCATATCCATACCTTGCTTCATCTATTGGCTTTGTTCTTCAAACATTTCACAGGCATATTTTTGAAAATCCATGCTTTTCATCCACTTACAATTGTCTCTATCTTCCCCTTCCTTTCAACCCAGTCATTCTTCCTTTGAATATTTGTTTGCAATGTGATTCTCATTCTGTGTAAACAAAAAGGCATTGAAGAACTGAGGAGATGATCCTACATTCCCTGCTCAAAATCAAACCATTGGCTAAACATGATATGTATTCTCACGAATGCTCTTCTTGCATTCAGAAACTTCAAATTATTGTAAGGCATTTTGCAACTCAGGCCTATTTACTTTATCACATGCTTTCTTTAACATATTCATATATTTTCTTGCTGGAAAGCAAAACAGTCTAAAGCTATACAAACATCCAACCTGTAATAAGATCACACTGCATTTCTCCGGTTTTGCTTGTTAGCAGTTCTCATATTATCAAGTTTGAATCAGAAGTCTCTTGGGTCCCTTCTGAGGCATATTTAATTATAATTATTGTTGGCTGTTTTTTGTCATTATTTCTTCCTCTCTGTTGTGACCTGCCAGCTGCCAGCAGAGCTTGCAGCAGACTCAGACGATGAGGAGCTGGGGACGAACTTGGGCCAGTTCTGGAGTCTGGAGAAGCCTCTGAAGGATGCTCTGCATCAGAAGCAGAGCCAGAGCCAGGGCCGTCCAACATTTCCCAGCCACCGGAGAGGCAGCTACCTTTGGAGGCTGAGATAAGTGGGGAGGAAGAACAGCTGAGGCCTGGTCCGTATGCGCAGAGCTTTGAGTAGAGAAGAACAACCAAGGACCAGGGGTCAACTTGGGAAGCAAGGCACATGTGGATGCTGAATGGCCCCTCCCTGGCTGGGGAATAAATAGAAGGAAAAGGGGAGTGGTGGTTGTGGGAGACAACCGTTAGGATTTATGTCAGAAGATTTGCTAATTGTGGTTCTTGCCTCAGACTGCGGGAATTTAATTTACAGCTTTGCAGCTGGAAGCTCCCAGCTTGACAATTATCCCAAGGAACTGATAAGGTCTATACTTCAGTTCAGCCTTGGAAGGATTATTGCCTGGACTTTTCGGTGTGTGAATGACAGTAATTCACAGTAGCTAAATAAAGAGGGGATTTGGGGGGCCAGGAGTCTGTTTGTTGGTTCTGCTAAGGCTGGGTCAGAACACTCTCTGTGTGTATCCTATACTACAGGGATGTCAAACTCAAAGCCAGCGGGCTGGAACTGGCCGGTGGGGTACTTAGATCTTGCCCGTGGGGCCACTCTGGAAGTGGCAAAGGACCAGCCCGCGGTGCCTCTACCAGCAAAAACAGAGCTTGGGAGGGCCACATGTGGCCCTCGCAAGCTCCGTTTTTGCTGGCAGAGGGTTGCAGGAGGCAGTCACAGCCAGAACGGAGCTCAGGAGCCCATTTTCACTGGCAGAGCGCTTGGGCCACCATAGGTGCCCGCACATGAGTGATGTCAAGCTGGTCACACCCACCTTGACCACGCCCACCCCCATCTCCTGAGGTTAAACACAACCCTGATGTGGCCCTCAATGAAAATGAGTTTGACACCCCTGCTATACTACTTGTCCAGTATCTTTATTTTGAGACTGAATGTATGGGGAAATAAGCCTCCCCGTGTACAATGTACAAATAGTTCTTGCGGTTCGTTTAGTGACTGTTCAAAGTTACAACGGCACTGAAAACAGTGACATGACTGTTTTTCACACTTACAACTATTGCAGCATTTCCATGGTCACATGATCACAATTCAGATACTTGACAACTGACTCACATTTATGACCGTTGCAGTGTCCCGGGGTCATGTGATCCCCTTTTGCCTTCTAACAAGCAAAGTCAATGGGGAAGCCAGATTCACTCAACAACTATGTTACTAACTTAAGGCAGTGATTCCCTTAACAACTGTGGCAAAATCCACTTAACAACTGTCTTGTTTAGCAACAGCAATGTTGGACTCAGTTATGGTCATAAGTTGAGGATTAGTTTAGCTGGAATACCTAAGTGGGAGTAGAGGGTTCCTTCACCATGAATTGGGGCAAGATGTCGATCCTGTTCAGTAAATTATTAAACCATTTCCGTTTCTACTTGTAGCATGCTGTTGAAGTGGTTATTTGAGGTTTTTCTACTGGTATAGATTCTTTAGGAACTTGGCAAGCCAGCTGCTGAGGAGAATATATCAGTTTTCTGTCAGCATAGTGCTAATTTTGATCTGTTTCAGTAATACGGCATGTGTTCAATTCACACAAAAATTGACTCACTTCTAAAATATCTGCCCCCTGTTGATCTTCCAAGTTGAATCCAAGGGCCCAATAGTTTATTTTTTCAAGAACCTCCAATGTCACTGATACCTTGGTGGTTCAACAGCTTCCTTGTTTTAGTGCTTTGATGTCTGCCTGGAGCTTATTATGGATTGTATCCTTGCTTTGTTGTTTCCTTAATTGAATTCTGCTTACAACACCTACTATTTTCTTGGATATTACATCTTTGCTATTATTACTTATCATTAGACAATGCATACGCTGGCTATTTTTTAGATTATAGCTTTTGCTTCTACTTTCTATACATCATTCTTGCATCTTATTTACATATTGTGCCATCTTTTTTTTCATGTATAGATGTGAATCACATACGTCTTAATTCTGTCTGCTTATAATCAGCTTCCACAGAAGTGAGAACAGTAGTATATTGCACTAAAGTAGAGTTCCTCTGATCCTTTAAAGATTAGCTTATTTATTATGAGGTTGCCTTTCGTTGACTTTAATCAGTTTTTGTTAAACCCTTGAAGGTATTATCCTGTAAAAGGGCGGTGGGGAGGATGATTCAAAATAGATCCAAAAAGTTTGCTTGTGCCTGGGTGATCTGTAATATTCCATTATTGAGAAAATTGAACCTGAAAGTTTCCAGATCAAAAAGACTGAAAATTCTAATATATTCTGTGTTAACATTCTCTTATGTGTGAAAATGTTTTCATAGGTTATTTAGAAAACTGCACCAGATTAGCAGGGATTATTGAAAAGGATATAACACCCAGCAACTTCACTAGATACTTTTTTTTTTTCAAGCAGTGGGTTTTGGTTTAGCAAAGTCTATATTTTCCACATTAAGCTCTATCTGGGTTTTAAGACATTTTATGAGATTTTTTTTTCTTTTTTGGTTTATTTATTCTTCACTAAAAATCTTAAAAGATGAATCTTTCGTAGAAGAGGCCTAAGTAGCTAGACAATGCAGTGTTGCTCAGAGCAGCTGTTTGCTTCCTGAGGTGATGCAGAAATATAAGGCAATTTGTTTGTATAGCTGGGCATATTGACTGTATTTTCTTTCATGAATCTTTCCTTAGCTTGCTTTAGTTTACTCTGCCTTTGATTTATATTTAAATGTATTATTCTTGTCTGCCACCATTTGTTGGAAATGTAGAATGCAAATCTAAAAACCGTATGTTTTATCAAACCTCTGGGCATTTTGAAATTAAATCATTTTTAAAATTGTTACTTTGTCCCTATGAAATTAGGTGAAATCATGTAATTTTAAGAATGACTTTCCTACTAAGTGATCCATGTGAAAATAGTGAGATTTTGATTGCAATTCAACTGCAGCCATTGCAGATGTTAGATTTGATCTCTGTAGAGTAGCAGTTTTTGCTCTACAGGCTGACTTTAAAGTGTGATTACTTCGTAATTGTTGTTCTTTGTCAAATTATTTCAAGTAGCCTTTTTTAAAAATTTACCCTGATTTTTTGGGTCTATGACCATACAGCAAACAAAATAAATAATGTGATGTGGCCCGCTACCTGAAAAGGTTTGCTGATCCTGCTATTAAAATACTTTAGCTGCCTTTTCTAATGGATAATGACTCACAAAATTAAGATACTGACTATATTCCTGATTTGTTTTTCTATGATTGTAAGGGCCTCTAGTCCTCAGAATCAGAATGCGACAACTTGCCACAGCTAACTGACATGTGGCCAACTCGCAGGGCCAACTTGCAGCAGCCAACTCACTGTGAGACAACTTACCATGGCCAACTCACCAGGGGGGACACTTCACTGCAAGACAGTTTAACAATTCACTTTCATTATTTAAAATAAATAAAAACTTGTTTTCATTCACATTTCATTTGGTCTTTCCTTTTGCAGCCTTGCTTTAATTATTCTATTCCACCATTTCTTTGATATTAGTGTAACTCTGAACCCGTGGCGAGTTGTTTTGCGGCCAGTTGACTGTGGCAAATTGGGCATGGTGAGTTGGCCTCAGCAAGTTGGCTGTGTGGCAAGTTGTTATAGACCCCCTCAGAATCTTGTTACCGGCAGAAGGTGAACTAGTGTTTTCTTTTTGTTTTTGTCAGTCCTCCTCTTGGTTTGTGGATAGCTACTGCTTCAGCAAATTATGGACTTTGGATGAATTGGAATAATAAAAAATAGAAATACAAGCAATATCTTTAACTTGTTCATAAACTTGCTTACTAATTGTTAAATATAAGATTATATTATATAAGAGCATATATATTATATAAGAGCATATTTATCATCTTTTAAATGTTTTCATTTTTCCTGTTTCAGTGAGTGTGCTACTCATATTGTTGAAGTTTTTTCTCATGTGGTGTAGCTTTAGATGATTTTTATTAATACAAAATTCAAATGAAAGTTCTTTATGTACTCATGTAATGTTTTTTTCTTTCTCATCTTTTCTTTATCTCCAGGACAGAGTTTGGGATATGGATTTGTGAATTACATTGACCCTAAGGATGCTGAAAAAGCAATCAATACTCTGAATGGATTGAGACTTCAAACCAAAACTATAAAAGTATGTAAACTTTTGAGAGTAAAATTAATGCTAGAATAAAATAGCTTGAGTAACCTGTCCTATGTATTTCTAGAAGCTATATAGTTTGGGAACTAATTATAATTTGTTCATAAGCCTTTGCTGGAGCTTACACAGGCAGTTTGCATCTATTTGCAACCATATCAAAAGTAAATCCCAATATCTATCAAGTTACGTGATACTGTATTAATATTGACAATAATATAAAATATAAAGCACTATATTTAAGATTTTCCCTGATAAATGTTCCCAGCAGCTGAATTTTCCTTCTTTGAATTCCCCTGTGCATTGTCTCATGGTTTTCATAGACAGAAGACTTCTAAATAAATTCAATTTTTTGCCTTGCCTGAGGGTTGCAGGAGGCACAGCTGATTATGTCTTTGGAACAGTCATTGAAATGTGCTTGTTGCGGTGAGAGAGGTTTGGAGGAGACAAATGGGGTGGCTTCGGGAGACTTCTAGCCTATGAGCCACAATTGTTCTCTGCTTTCCTAAAATAATACATTGATTTTCTTGTCATTTGAGATACACCGTAGATTTTAAGCAAAAAAGATGTGGGGAAAGTTAGATTATCTTCTCATTGGTATCTGAAATCACATCTGGCTATATCTTCCTTCTTCTGGGTTAAAAAATCTGGATTTTGGAGTCCCTGGTCTTTGCACATTTTTTTAAAAAAAGATTGAATGAAATACTGAATTTGGTTGGCATAGGTTCTTTACTTAGGCAAGAGTGAATAGCGATATATTGGGGAAACATCAGGTGTAAGTACAGGTAGTCCTCAACTTACCAGAGTTCATTTAGTGACCATTCAAAGTTACGATGACCCTGAAAAAAGTGACTTACGATCATTTTTTCACACTTATGACCTTTTAGCATCCCCATGATCAATGTGATCAAAATTCAGATGTTTGGCAGCTGGTTCATACTTAATGACCATTGCTGTATCCCTGGGTCTCATGACCACCTTTTGCAAGCAAAATCAAAATCAACGGGGAACCATGTGGTAGGTGGAACTTACGTAAGGAATGGGTACATAATACCTGTTCCCTTTTCAGAGACAGTTTTCCTTGTTCTTGGTCTCTGCATCTCGATCTCCCAAACAGCAATTTCCAGGGAAGAAAGAAATGGCTCTTGGCAAAAACTGATTTCCTGCAGGGAACTTTTAAAATTAATCTAAGGACCGTAAATAATCCATTCCTGCCTTAATCTATAAAGCACGTTAGTTTTCTATAGGGCTAAGGCTGGTCAGATAATTCTTTTCAAAGTTTTATTGTAGAACTGACCACCATTAAATGTTTATGTAACATTGTTACGTGTCAGAGTAATATGGTTATTTTTAATCAAATAAATTAAGTAGGTTTTCTTCCCACTTCCTGGTATTTAAAAGTTATAAATGCATTATCGTGAAGGAATGAGTAAGAAGAATGTGAAAAGTTCACTCCAGTCCCTCTAATCCAAAGATTTTTTAAAAATTATCTTGTTGGGTTCTCATTGCAGCAATTTTTATTGTTCAATGAAATGAGTTAAAGAGTTATTTGCTTCTTTGGGAGCTAATTCCCTAAAACGTGGATTTTATTTTAAGGAAAGTTAAATATATTGGCAAACACAATACAATACATGCCTAAAAACCCTAAAAACTATCATGGCTTAATGAATTTCAACATGATGCAGTCTATTTTACTAGCACTCGCAATGACAATTCTTTCAAAATAAATATACCAATTTCATATCCTGCTGAAGCGAGTTCTATATTTATTATAATTTTTAAAATATATGCATTCCTTTTTCAATGAGTTAATTGCTTAAAATAGAACTATTGCTTGGACCGATAAGACAGATTTGCAAGAAAATTAATAGTATACTCTTAATGTATATATTTGCATAGATGCATGTGTGTACTCATATGTGTCACATAATCATAGGTAGATGAGAGTATTCAGTGATGATATTTTTTGATTAGCAACTGTGTCAAGAGAACTGTAAAATATGTATGTATTGATAAAACCCCTTTAGAATACCTGAAGGAAATGAAGTGTGAAGGTGAGGAAGAAGCACCTTCACAACCTTTGTGTTCTGTTCTTTCTATATCATAGAACATTGATCCTAGCAAGTGGCAAAATGAGATCCTATTTGGAAGTTTAATTAAAGTGAGTGAGTTTTATTGATGCTATCAATCAGCAAAGATTGAGTGAAAGGGCCTGGTGCCAAACCATTTAGTGCTCTTGACAGGGTAATTAAATACCACAGGACTGTTGTCTCAAGATAAAGTGAAGAGCCTTTTGCAAATGTGATTCTTTTGTTGGGTCAAAAGAAAGGTGTTTTCCCTTCCTAAATAGTATATAGGGAGACTTTTAAAAAATGGCCGCTTGTTATTTCTTTCTTGTATACAAATTGGTTGATTTTGTCAGCTTGCATTTTTGAAGGGTTCACATAAAATACTTGGATAAAAATATTGTTTTAAAATAAAAACACTTTTAGAATGCAGGGTAATTTAAAATTGGGTTGTTGTTTTTTTTTCAGTTAAACTCAAGCCTTTTTGGAAAAAAAAACCATAAAAATATTAAACCTCACCAGTTAAAACTCCAAAAATGCATAATTTCTAAGAACTTTCATTAAGTATTATCTGCTTCCGATTTTTCTAGTTAATCTGATTGTTGAATATTCTGTCGTTCTATGAGGCTTATAGAGAACACTAGAGTTGTCAGATGTGGCATTTATTTTATTTATCATACGGCATGTGTTAGCCAGGGTTTACCAAGGTAGCTGGCTGCCTCTGTGAAAGGAATTTTTTTTTTGGGGGGGGGGGGGGTATCTTTACTGGTGTGACGCCTGAATGCTGGTAGGCAGTTGTGGGAGGCTCCTTTCCTGTTCCTCTGCAGTTTATTCGCTCATGGGAATTGAGCCGCCAAGCTGCCGTCCTCAGTGGTGTGCAGGCCCAGAGCATATCAGAGTCTGTTGGAACAGGTCAGTTGGACTTGAATAGAAAAGCAAGGCAAATAAATCAGACATAGAGCACAAAATTGAGACAGAAAACTATCTGATGATCAGAACAGCAGGAATCAGAATCTTGAATGCCTTTTACCTAACAGGGCTATATAAAGCTATAGGTCCAGTAAAGCACTGAAGTCTGTTGAACTGGATTTGTGGAATGCTAAGGAAGGAAATATATTGAATGCCTGAACGGTGAATTCTTCAAATAAGGTACACATTTTAACATTCTTTTCTCCAGCACATCAGTTGGAGAATCCACACATGGGTTGACACATGCCTTTCTGCCCAGAGACTAAACCCTTAAACTTTCACCACGCCCATCTGTCAACCGTCACTTTCCCAGTTCATGACTCAGTCATAGGGATGTGACAAAAGTTGGCTCTCAAATCTTTGGATAGAAAAGCTGGATTCTTCATTCTGACATCTTGTGCTGGCAGGTTTGATAACAGCGTTGATGTTAAAACTACTAGGTACTCATCAGAATTTGAGAAACTCTCCCCCCCGCCCCCCGAACCTGGTAATGCATGATGATTCACCTCATAAATAGTTTAATTCATATTTAGTTTTCATTGTTCAAACCAGCAACTTGAAATGTCAGAACAGAAAATATTTGTGTTACCCAATGTGACTGGTAGGGGCGGGACGATTGCTTTTGTTATTATTGCAGGTAACTCAGCATTCTCTGTTTCTTGTTATAAAAGTTCTGAGTCATCTGTTTGTATGCTTGAATTGCTGCAAATTATTATTTTGATCCCCAACCTGGCAAGGCTGTGTAAGTTGGCCGAGACATTGGTACCAATTGAGACGTTGGCGTGAGGATTTTGGGATATCATTGCCAAGTGACTGTTTTTCAGCCTTATTTCAGGATGAATAATGATGACTACTTTTCTTTGCTGATTGTGTTTTTTTAAGCAAGACACTAGAAAATTTAAAGCAGTGTTCTAACTGAAGAACAATAATCATTTTATTTAAATAAGGAAATAAACAGTATTAAATGCTTACATTGATCCATTGGTGAGTTTTAATTAATTTATTAATTCATCCAGAAGACCATATCCTCCCATTCTCCTCTTGAGAAAAAAAAAAATTAGTAACTCCATCTATGATGGACTGATAACCATACACTATGATCATTTGCCAGAGAATACTTTTTATTTTGTATCATACAGGTAGTCCTCAACATATGACCACAGTTGAGCCCAAAATTTCTGTTAAGTGAGACATTTGTTAAGTGAGGTTTGCTTCATTTTACAATCTTGCTTGCCTCAATTGTTAATTGAATCAGTGCAGTTGATAAGTTAATAGCCTGGTTGTGAAGTGAATCTAGCTTCCCCGTTGAGTTTGTCAGAAGGTCGCAGAGGGGGATCACATGACCTTGGGACACAGCAGTGGTCATAAATGTGAACCAGTTGTCAAGCATCTGAATTTTAATCATATGATCATGGGGATGCTACAAAGGTCATAAGTCACTTTTTTCAGTGCTTTTGAGCCACGATTGTTTTTCGCTTTCCTAAAACAATTTATTGTTTTTCTGGTCATTTGAGATATATTGTAGATTTTCAACCAAAAAGATACGGGTAAAGTTAGATCATCCTCTTGTTGGTATCTGAAATCACATCTTCCTTGTTCTGGGTTAATAAATCTAGATTTCCCTACTGTTTGCAAAAAGAAAAGAAAAAAAGAAAAAAGATTGAACGAAACCGTGAATTTGGTTGGTACAGTAGATTCTCTTTGCCTAGACAAGAGTGATTAGTGATACTGCAGTGAATTGTAATTTTGAATGTACACTAAACAAGCTGTTGTAAGTTGAGGACTACATATATATAGCCACTTATGTTAAAGTTTTGCATAGTTCCACTCACCTATGGATCCTGAAAATAAAAGTAAGGATTTATTTTAATGTTTTCCAATTCCAAACAAACAGTTACTACGAACGCACAAAAGGCTTCAATGGTCCAGAGCAAAATGAAGATACTAAATTGTTCTGTATCC